TTTATGTTTTTAAATTCATTTTTATTTTAATCATGAAATCAATAAAAAACCACAAAAAATAGATTTAGGTTTTTTAATTAAAATTAACTCTTGCAAATTAATTTAATTTAATTGATTTTAACTTGTTTTCTTTAATTTTAAAAATAATTAAAAATTAGGTTAAATCTCAAATTTTTTTCATATAAAATACCAAAAAATATTTTTATTAAGCAATTAGATTTTTAGGGTTTCAAACTTGTTCCCATCTTAATCTCCGCGCGCTTATTATTTTCTCTTTTATCATTTTTCAATTTTTTGTAATTGTTTCCGAGTTTGTAATAGTTTTAATTAAGTTTAAATTCCGCATTTTTATTTTTTTCTTGTACTATATATGTAATTGCCCCAAAGCCTTGTAATAGCTTAGGTGTTTTATTTTCTGCAATTTATTTTCCGCACTATAAACTGCTTAGATGAATGGTTAATAGGATTGTATGGGAAGATAACCATTAATTGAGCATAGCATAACTTAATTCAAAGATAATAAATCAAGCACACTTGCACATGCTCACCCCTAGGGTATCTCCCACTTCGGTCGCCTTCGGAAAACGGTCACAATTCTCGAAACGTGAGAAGCTTTAGTGGTTGTCCTCTAGTTTGAAAGATCACATGTCTCTCGATGACCCTCTCGATGTTGCCTCAATTAAAAGTGATCTTAGAACTTTAGGACAGTTACTAAAATTTCTTGCCAAGTTGCCTTCGTGACCGTAACGTCCCTTTCGATTGTCCCTCAAACATCCAACGATAGGGCTACCTACTCACTAATAGTAGGATAGAACTGTCTAAAAGAAAAGAGGAAAATAACGACTTTTTTCGAGTATAAATGTAGATAGTTGTTAGAAGTTTGCTCAAACATTTTGCACTCACACAAAAACTACTTTTCAAAAGACATTTCAAAACACTTTGTATACTTTCTCCACTATCCCGAGAAACATTACAAAGTTCGCCGTACTAAGGCGTTTTCAAAACATTTTCAAACACAAAGCACAAAGGTATTTTAAAAATGAGCAAACCTCTAAGAGCCCGTGGAAAACCACAGATGGAAAGGGTGCTAACACCTTCCCTTTCCATAATCTATCCCCCTTACTCACAAAACTCTCGAAAAGATCTTTTTCTGTTCTTTTCACCCTTTCCTTTGTTGAATAAAAGAAAAGACGGTGGCGACTCTTGCTTACCACAACATTTGCAAACATAAACACAAAACCAGTATTAAATAGTTGGTTCTGCCACCATATCACATCACCATATCAAGCAAAGTACAGTTTCTTCTTTCAGAAAGACCATTGTGTTGAGGAGTATAGGGAGCAGTAACCTCATGCTCAATTCCATTCTCCTCACAGAACCTTCTGAATTATGTGGAGTTATACTCACCACCATCTTCAGTTTTAAGAATCTTCAGAGTCTGGCCACTCTGATTTTCAACCTTCAGTCTGAACTTCTTAAATTCAGCAAACACCATGTACTTGAACTTTATGAGAGATACCCATGCCATTATGGTGAACTCATCAACAAATGACACAAATTATTTATTCCCTCCAGTTGATGCTACTAAAAATGGACCGCACACATCAGAATGCACTACTCCTAAGGCATACTTTGCTCTTAGAGATACTTCTGATACAAATGGCAATCTTGGTTGCTTCCCTTCCATGCACACCTTGCATGACTTCTCAGGCTTCTCGATTGTAGGAATTCTATGTACCAGCTTTTTTTGATTTCAGATGCCCTAAGCTTTTGAATTTTAGATGACCAAATCTTCGGTGCCACAACTCGCTCTCCTTGACAACACTTGTTGCACTAAGACATTCAGAATCTGCAATTCTAACATTCACCTTAAATGTTCTGTTCCTTCCATGTTCTGACTCCATAATCAGCTTCTGATTACAGTCATACAACTTCAGAAGATTGTCCTTCATGGTAATCAAAAAACCTTTCTCAATGAGTTGTCTCACACTCATCAGATTGCTTTTCATGCCAGGTATATACCATACATTTTGGATCAATGCTACTTTCCCATTGTTTATAATGATTATGACATTTCCCATACCTTCTCCATTGAGGTATTTATCATCAGCACATCTGATCTTTGTACTCTTCCCAGAGTCAAAATCAACCAACCATTTCTTATTTCAAGTAAGATGGTTTGAACACCCTGTGTCCATATACCACCATTATGATGAATTCATATTATTAGGTTCAGAAGCCAACAATAGCACATGTTCATCATCAGACTCTCATCTGGCTATATTTTCTTCTTCTGACTTTCTTTCCTTGTTCGACCAGCAATCTTTGGAATAGTGACCAAAGTTCTTGCAAAAGTAACAATAAACATTCTTCTTGTCAGACTTTTCTTTTCCCTTCTAGACATTCTTCTGCCTATCAGAGTTTGAAGCTTCTTACCTTTGACCACCATTAGTTTTCTTCCTAGCTTCTGACCAAGTCTGCTTCTAATACTTCTTACCAGAAGTTACTTTCAGCGCCTACTGCTCTACTTCCCTCTCAGAAGTTCTCTCAGTCATACGCAACTCATGTGCCTCTAGACTACTTTGCAGCTCTTCAACTCTCATGGTGCTCATATCTTTTGAATGCTCAATTGCTACCACGATGTAATCAAATTGAGAAATTAAAGATCTCAATATCTTCTCAATGATTACTTGTTAAGAAAGAGTTTCTCTACAATCTTTCATCTCATTAGTGATCAAAATCACTCTAGAGATGTATTCAAAAACCTTCTCGTTGTCCTTCATGTTGAGATTCTCATATTGCTTTCTGAGAGACTGAAGCTTCACCTTTTTCACTAATGTGTCACCACCGTAACATCTGACCAGTGTGTCCCACGCAGCCTTTTCTATTTCAGAGTCAGCAACCTTCTCAAATACATTCGCATCCACATAATGATGGATATAGAACAATGCCTTCTGATCTTTCTTCCTTAGCGCCTTCTGTATAATCTTTTGTCGCGTCTGCTGCTAACATATCATAGCCATCGGTGACAAGATCTAACACATTTTGAGAGACAAACAACACACGCATCTGAATCTTCCAATGATTCCAGTTTTTTCCATCAAACACTGGAAGCTTGGAGTTGATATCAGCGTTTTTGTTCATCTTCAACCGTTGTGCAATTCACGCAAAAACTCACTAAAACACAGTGTTTCCCCGTGGATTTCAAACCGGAACTCTGATACCAATTGTTGGTGCACAAAGAAGAGATGAAAGACAAAAGGAATATATTGAATGACAACTACAAAATAAGGAATGATGAATTACATTAACTTACCTACTACTAGGCTATTTATACACAAAATTAGGGTATAATAAAATACTAAAATACCCTATAACAAACTTAATCAATAAGATATTCCTAAAATATAAATTAAATCCAACAAGATAACACTCTCAATTTACAAACATGTATTTTTTTCAAATAAAATGTATCTGCCTACATGATTAATTTTATCATTGTCTCCATAATAATTCACACAAAAATTTGTAATATAAATTTAGTAATCATATTTTGTCAAAACAAACTCTTAATATAATTAAAGTTCAATCGCATTGCGCGGATTTTAATTTAGTTAATCCTTAAATCGGCAAAGAGATAATAATATATAATAGAAAAAGACACGAGCAATTGAGCTAGAACTGTCAAAATGGGCTACTCGATCCTAAATGGACCGGCCCATGTGGGCCTCGGGCTTTTTAGGGCCGGGTCCTAAAAGACCATATTTAAATATGCTCTATTTTTACTACTCAGGCCCAACCATGTCTGGACTGCGAGCTACCCGACCATAAATGGATCTTGGCCCTAAACGGGCCCATTTCTAAAAAAATTAAAAATGTATCCTTATTTTTTTTAAGTAATCATACAATTATATGCAATAATACTTATATATATATATATATATATATATATATATATATATATATATATATATATATATATATATATATATATATATATATATATATATATATATATATATATATATATATATATATATAATCCATATAAGTTAACAATTAAAATGTAAAATAACACATTAATTTAATTCAAATTATCCAAAATATATCACAAATTTCAAATGTAGCACACAAAATTAAATAACTTATTCCAACAAATTTAAAATTATAAATAATGACAATTATAATTTTATAACCATTATAACAACGAACTGCTATGTAATTTTATAACAATTATAAGTAGATTGATAGAATATAATTTTATAACAAATTGTTATATGTCTAATGTGTATTAACTCTACCCTCCCATCAAAATTATATTAGAACTTTTTAAACCTCATTTCAACCTTATTTTTAATTAGAGTACATCATGGTATCTTTTCTATACTATCTACATAATTATATTAGGATAAAACGTTTTAGTTTGAAATTAAGTCAAATTAACAACTTTTGTTTGATATTTATATCTTTATAATACAAAAAAAAAATTTATAATACATAATACACAAATTATTTATAGCATATCTAAAATTTCATCACCTTGGACATCAAAATTGTCTGTTTATATCAATTGACCATTTTTACTACATGAATTAAAAAATAAGATATAAATTATTTATGCAACTTGTTTATAACTTTATTCACTAACACTATATCTAGAATTTCATACATTATCAGTTTTAACTTTTTTCTTTTATTTAATTTTTTTATGAATTAAGAAAGAATAATTTCTAATTGTATAAAAACATTATTTTTTTGGGCCGACGGATTATCCATGATCCATACGGGTTGACCCATATTTGTTAGAGTTTTTTCAGACTGGATTAAAAAAGATTCAAAAGTAAATGAATTCAAAAAATAAGGTTCAAACCTTAACTTTTTTCAGACTTATGTATCGGCCCATGGGCTTCGCCCATTTTAACATCTCTAAATTGAGCATCATGTTATTTAACCAATGAAATATGAATAATAATAATAAATAATCAAAATCAGTTAAAGTTTCACACCCTTTTAGAAACCAATCCTTTTAAGCTGCCAGCCATGTGCGCCGTAAGAAGAGGCACAAATATAGGCTTCTCACTACTAACTATTCTAATCTTAAATCTCCTAACAATTGAAGCCACGACATATTTCATTTCAACAAAAGCCATTTCTTTTCCCAAACACACCCTTGGACCACCCTGAAAAATAGGAAACTTAAAAGGACAAACCTCTTTCAACACTACTTCATTCTCCCCCGGGTCAACCGGCTCAATAAACCACCGATCCGGTCTAAATTCAAACCAATCTTTTCCCCATAAATTCTCCAATCTCCCCATTCTATATGGAAAATAGGTCACTCTATCTCCACTTCTTACCATTGTGCCATATGGCAATATATCATCACATGTGGCATGCTTTGAATCCCATGCCACTGGTGGGTATAATCTCATTGCTTCACATAGACATGCCTTTAAATAATTCATATTCTTCAATGATTCATAGTCATAATCATAATCATAATTCAATGTCTCTTTCACTATCATGTGCTCAATCTCAGAATGACTTGATAGTAACCAAAAGAACCATGTTAAAGCTGATGATGTTGTGTCTCTCCCTGCCATAATCAAGCTTATCACCATGTCCCTAATCACTTCCTCATCATGATCTGAAAGAAAATATAGTCATGATCAATTTTAAAATGACTGTGACAAATTGTTTAATTCAGAGTTGAAGATTATAATCAATGTCGCAACACTTGAATCTATTCAAATCGCAAAAACACAATTAAAAAATTTTCATTACCTGAATAAATAAGACGTGACAAGAGATCTTGACCACCAAGAAATTCCTCTCCCATTACACTCATCTTTTTCTTTCTATTTAAAATCATTTCCATGACACGTGTCTGAACCTCCTTAACCGCCTCTCTCAACCTCCTTTCCGATCCAACTCTCAGCCATTTCTTCACTCTCCACACCAAAAACAACGGCGCTGCTCCACGCCTCGCCGAAATCTCAGCCGCCACATCGAAAGCCTTTGCTAACGGCGAAATCGGAAAACTAGGATTCAAACAACACCTATTATTCTCATCATCGCCGTCATTACTCCCCATTGTAAATTTGCAAATCACATTGAAAGAGAATCTCCCCAACAATTCCTGCAAGTCAACCTCTTTGTTCTCTATACACAATGAATCCATTAATGGCAATAGCTTTCCATGGACTTCTTCCTTTAACGTGTGCATAATGAAGTCATTCATGGACCTCGGCGAAAATTGGTGACTTGCCAGTTTTCCCTGTTTGATCCATAAATCTCCATCCACGTTGAATATACCTTTCCCGAGAAATCTCCGAGGATCTCGATGAAAGGCTTTCCTTTAGGAAAGTTTTTAAAATTTGTCTTGAGTATATATTCCACGTTGTCTTGATTTGCGGTTATAATCGTTCTATGTGCATCCAATCGCTGAATCAATATAGTGTTGGTCGGCGATTGGGCTAGAAGGTAAGTGTACCAATCTAGCAACCGGAAACGGTTTTTGTAAAAGGATAATAAACAACCTATGATCGGATAGGTTGTTGGACCGGTTCTGGAGAGTTTTTTGACCGGTAGGAAGTTGAGGAATGTTAGGTAGATGAATGAGAGAGGTTGAAAGGAAACAAGGAAAGTGATGAAGGCTCCCACCATGTTACTCTTCAATAATATTGATGATGCACTATCACAATTATGGCAATGTGTGGCTTTTTTTGAGTTGACTCTTGCTATGTATGGAGAGCTATAAAATAAAATTAAAATTGCATTGTCAAGTTAATCCAGACTTCGATCAGTCGAATCTTTAATTAATTAATTAATCAATCAATGCCAGATGATCAAATATTTATACATCAGATTAAAGCTTGTTTTGGACTGATTCAAATTCCTAACTACTAAATCTTTTTATTTATCCCTTCATTTCATTCAACTATATACGCTGTCCGTTAAAGTAGAATTTTTCTTATAGAAACGGACATATATGAAAGGTATTAAAACAAAATGATAAGTATTATTCTTTTTTATGACAGAAAATATTTATTAAGCAATCTTGTAACCAAATTTAATATCGTACTATAGATACTTTCTTATGATTTTTTCTTCTTCCATGGAAGAAGTTTGTCATGTTCGTAAGGCAATTTTAAATATATTTGGGAATATCCAATTTATCGTATAGAACTTTTAGTTTTAAATATCGACACTATTTTGTTAGAGATGTTTTGTTTGATATATTTTAATGTGTCAAAGTATCTGCGAAAAAATAGATATATGTAAATTTTTTGATTGAGTCACTTGAAGAGAGAATGTGTGAATTTGTGTGAATTTGATGAGAGTTTCTCTATTAGTGGTGTTCTGGACTGGACCGGGCTGGCCCAAAAGTAAGGATGAAGGCTCAATTCAAACGGTCCTGCAGGGGGTCACGCCGACCAAAAAGGTACTGCCTTGTCCACAACATCCTCGACGCAATTCAGTCCAGCTCGACCTTAGCTCGAGCGCTCCTCGTAGGGCAGACCATGACCATTACGCCACCACCTGGTTTCCGAAAAGACCGCGTCCCCGTCCGCCCGTACTTCTCGTAGAACACCCAGGAAGGAGACCACGTGCGGGTCCCCACTACACACGTAGAATCTGATAGTTCCTTCATTTGGGCCAAACCTGCCCGGTCCAATGAAGGGACTTTGGCCCAGCACTGGGGGCTATAAATACCATCTGTTCCCAGAGGGTCAGGTATTCATTCTCTTACCCATACTCATACTTTTTGCCTGCTCGTACTCCCACTTACTTTAGCATCGGAGTGCCTTGCAGGTAACCCCCCCCCCCCATCTCGTTCAAATTCAGCTCGGAGCCAGTCGTGACGGTCCAAGTCTGATCCGGTAAGATCAATGGCGCCGTCTATGGGAATCCTAGCTTCCCCGTCTTACAAACAACTCAAAGACCAAAGCTCGACTCAACTACCACTGTCATGGATGACCAAGCTCGCGATGAACAAAACGTCTGCGTCGTCGACACCAACAACGGCCCCGCGGACAAAAACGAACACCTTGACAACGCCGACAACCCCGGTCATAACACTATCCCTGTGTCAACTGCCCCCGGACCTTCAACCCACCGCGACGGAGCTACCGCTTCATCCTCCTCGATCCCTCCGCCACTCGAAGAGGACGATGCAGCTCTCGCAAATTACCGGGCTGCCCAGTTTCAGGAAGTTCCCGTCCCCGCCGGGGCGGATGCCACAACCCGAGCGTTGTTCGCAGCGATCAATCAGACAAATTACCTCATCTTCGCCCAAGGGGAAAGATTGAGGGCACTTGAAGACGATCGAAGACCCCCGAGGAGGCACCGAAGGCCCCATACTCCACCTCCTCGGGTGACTGAAGTCCACTTCCCATCTCCCCCGCGGAGACATTACAGAGATACCTCTCGAAGCCCGTCACCCCGCCCATCGGGGAAACAGCCCCCTTTGGAGAGGCAACCCATCATCGAAGCCGGAGGACGCGGTCGCGCCCCCGCAAGACAGGAGAGAAGACACTCCGGAGACGGGCGTGGGAGAACCAATCAGCGAGCACCACGCTCGAGAGATACCCAGCACGACCAAGACCGTCGTGCCCGAAAGTATTACAAGTCCCCATCTCTGTCCCCGGAACAGAGCGACGAGGACGACCCCCGCAGTCCCCTGTCGCAGGCTATCATGGAGGCGCCCATCCCCCCGGGCATGGAGAAGCCTCCACACTTGAAGGAATACGATGGAGTCGCGGACCCGGTCGACCACATAGACGGGTTCGAGGCTATGCTGCACTATCACAATGTCGGGGGGCCCATTAAATGTCGCCTCTTTCCCACGACCCTCGGGAAGGCAGCAATGGACTGGTACAAAGGACTCGCCCCGGGGTCAATCACCTCGTGGTGGAACCTGAAGAACCAGTTCATCAGTTCATTCACGGCATCTCGCCGACACCCGAAGACCGAGGCGGCTCTCGAGGCCATCATCCAGAGACAGGATGAAACCTTGAGAGAGTTCATCAATCGCTTCAACCGCGAAGCCATACAGGTCCCCTTCGCGGACCATATGAAGAGATATCTGCTGGAGAGGGGGCTCCTCCCCGGCACGAAATTCAGAAAGGCCGTGGGCATCAAGCCACCCAGAACATTCGATGCCCTCCTCGAAAAGGCCCGGGCATACATGGACTACGAGGAGAGAGAAGCGGCCAACAGAGCCCGAGACCCCAGGACTCGCGGCTCCAACAGCAACTCGCACCAGGAAGCTCCTCCTCCTCGACGAACCGGGGAGAAAAGAAAAGAAGACAGACCCCAGAAAGTCCGGGAGCAATGGGGACCCTTGGGGCGTTTTACCGAGTACACTCCGCTCACAGCTTCCCGTGAGCGCATCTTGGCGGAGTGTGTCAGTACGAACTTCAAGGACGGTGGCGTCAAACGTCCCCGACCCGCTCCCGCCAAGCCCGGAGCAGACAAGAGCAAATATTGTCAGTACCATAGGAGCCATGGTCATCTGACTGAGGATTGCGTCCACCTCAAGGACGCCATCGAAACCCTCATCAAGGGAGGAAGGCTTGCACAATACCGGCGAAACGATACTCCTCTCCGTGACGCTCGGGAGACAGGAGAGCCAGAGGAAGACGCCCGACCATCTGACGAGTCGGTCCCCATCCAGACCGCCTTCTCAGTGACAAGACCCGAGGACTTCGACGTCCCCGAACACCTGCACGAGCCGCTCACAACACACAGCAGGTGGGAATATTTCCCCTCCGCCATGGTCATGAATGGCGGAGGATTCAACGACTTGACCATTAACTTGGCAAAGAGAAAGCTGGATGAGCTGGTCGACGCGGCACCCCCACAAATAGTGACATTTGAAAAGGTGAAGGGCAGGTCAGAACCCATCACCTTCTATCTAGAAGAGCTCCCCAGGGGAGCCCCCAACGCGGTCATCCCCTTACTGATAAGGGCAAGAATGGCCAACTTCGATGTGCATCGCATCCTCGTCGACGAAGGAAGTTCCGTCGACGTAATGTACAGCCAATTGTTCCGAACTTTACAGCTGGACGACTCACATCTCTCGCCATATGTAGGGTCGGACTTACAGGGTTTCAACGGCTCGACCTCCAAACCTTGGGGATATGTCGAGCTCCTGGTCACATTCAGCGAGGGAACAGCGACAAGACAGGTCAAAGTACGCTTCCTCGTCATCGACTGCCCGTCCCTCTACAACTGCATCCTGGGAAGACCAACACTGGCAGAACTGACAGCGGTGCCCTCCACCGTCCACCTGAAGATGAAATTCTACACCAAAAGGGTACGAGTAGCAACTATCCAAGGAGACCTAGCCGCTGCTCTGAGGTATTTCAACGCTGCATCTAAGGGACGCGACACTGTCGACGTAGGGACAAGGCCCGCCAAAAGGACGCGACAGGAGCCCGACAAGCAAGAGTCCGCCAAGGAAGAAGTCCAGAAAGCTCCACCAAAGGTCGACTCTATAGCTCTGGACGCTCGTTTCGACCAGGACGAACCTCCTAACGACGAGCAAGTTCCACTCCGACCGATACCGGACGGGAATTTTGAGCTCGTTCCCCTCGGCACAGGCCCGAGCAAAGGAGTGAAGATTGGAAAGGATCTCCCCGACCTGGCAAGGAAGCAAATCAAGGCCTGCTTGTGCGAGAATGCTGACCTGTTCGCTTGGAGCGCCGCGGAGATGCCCGGACTCGACCCTGAGGTCGCCTGTCACCACCTCGCCATAGATCCTGCCGCTAGGGCTGCAGTACAACGTAGGCGTAGGCAGTCTCCAGAGAAAACGGAGGCTGCTGAAAAAGCTGTAAAAGACCTCCTAGAGGCAAATTTTATTTCTGAAGCCCGGTATTCCACCTGGCTGTCAAACGTTGTACTTGTTAAAAAGAATAATGGAAAATGGAGGATGTGTGTTGACTATACCGATCTCAGTCGGGCCTGCCCGAAAGATGCTTTCCCTTTACCGAACATAGACATGCTGGTCGACAACTCGGCCGACTACAAAACGTTGTCGTTCATGGATGCTTACTCGGGCTATAACCAAATCCCGATGGCCGTGGGCGACAAACACTGCACGGCTTTCATGACCAGCTCGGGCAACTATTACTACAACGTAATGCCCTTCGAACTGAAAAACGCCGGGGCAACCTACCAACGCATGATGAACAAGGTTTTCCACAAGCAGATTGGGGACATGCTCGAGGTTTATAT